AACATTCGCAGATACATATGAGAATATTGCAAGGAAAAGCAAAAGATTAAATGGGTTGGTACAGATTGAGCCACTAGACTTGGAGAAACGCATAGAGAAGTATGTAGAACGGCATGAAGAGTACCCATATTACACAGTAGAAACCGAAGAGGACGAATCAGAAAACCGAGCAAACTGCTTGTTTGCTCTTGTGAAATCGAGAATCGGCGAAACAAACAACATACTAGCTTCTAGCGTAGCAGATAATCTACTGTTAGATTTTCTCCAAGAAGACAATATTGGGGCAAAAGAGGAGAGATTAATGGTGAAGAAAGTAGAAGACTGGGTGATGGGTAGACAAGAAGAGATGTTTATGAGTTGGGAAGTGAGAGAGAAGAGAGAGGTTTACGTGAAAGAAATGAAATGGGGTTGCGTTAATGGAGATGGGAGAGAGTGTGTAATTGAAGATTTGGCTAATGGGATCTTCACTTTCTTGGTGGATGAATTCATCATCGACTTAATTTCGTAGTGATGATATTTGTAGTTTTTTTGTTTGGGTGGAGAGTTAAGGTTTTGATATTTTGTTGTTAGACTTTAGACCTACAAATCTACAATGTATTAGTCTATTATGTTATCTCGAATAAAAGTATAACTGTATAAGTAGTTGGGCATAAGGGGAATGATTCGTAAAAAACCTTGTGTAGACGTCATGTTCGTTAGAGTCAATACTCAATAGTCATTATGTGTTGTTTTGTTTTTCTGTTTCGTTATATGCTTGAGAATACCTTCGAATTCGATTCGATGGTTTTACCAATTCCACCCATGTTTACCAACCATCATGCCATTGGATCTGTTTACAGGCCCAAGCCCACTTGTTTATTTTTTTGGATGATTAGTTTGGAAACCTTGTTTTTCTGGTATTTGAGTAATAATAATTTTATCTAATAGATAAATGAAACTTACATTTATAAAGTAGTTTGCAATCATCACAAAGCCTAATACCTCATTGGCACAACAAACTTTATGACTTTTAGTGATCCAGAACAATTCTTTATGCATACTAAAGTTATAAACGAGTGTTATCTTCTATTAAAAAAAATGTTAATTTTTACATTAATATCATCAAAATTTACCAAATTAAATATTTTCTGAACATTATATAGAACATGTTAATGAAAGACGCTTGACATAAATAATTGATTTGAGAAACTGACCCTGATTTTTCTCAACAACAATGCATTTTCCAGCTATGATATATGCTTAGAAGAAACTGTTTCTGTTATTCTCAACTTTCGTATACTTCAAAGAATGGGTAACTATCAAAAATCCTTCACAAGAACATTGATCGTCTATCACCAAGAATAATTTGTGCTAAAACTGTACAATTCAGAATATTGCATTTGGATTTAAGCAACCTAAAGAATCATGTATATTGGAGAAAACGCAATTTCTTTTTCTCATTGGATCTCAATAAACTATTTATCTTTCTTTCTATGTATATTCTTTTATCGAAATCAACTTCTCTCTAATATGTCTTCATTAAAAAGATTTTGAGAGATTAACCAAGTTTTCTGGCCCTCAATTCTTCCGCCTTGTTTCTAGCCAGCTCCGCCATGTGTCCTTCCTCCGCAGCCTTCACCTCCAGCTTGTAGGCTTCAAGCCAGCCCTTCCACCTTCCTCTGCTTCATCAAATGAGAAGCTATGGCAAACACATCGCTGAGGTCCAGAGGGTGGTTGGGAGATGTAAACCGCCGGACCGAAGATGAGCGATAACCACTACAAAAAAAAGAGTATTAAATCACATCAGTTATAACAAATGATGCTATTTTGAGCTGTTTGACATCAATTTCATATAATTGACACAATTTTACTTTAGTTTACATCATTTCAAAAAGATTGATACAAAAGTATTAATTCACATCAATTATACACCACGAAACACGTTCACTTCCTGGTTCATATATTTTAAACTGTTTTTTATGATTAATTAAAGAAATTGAAATCTATTCGTATCTACATATTTCCTATACAAAAGTCAATCTAAATTTGTTTTACTTTATTTCTCACTCACAATCCTTTTTACTCGCCCCATAATCTTTCTAAATTCTAACTGCACTACAAGAGATCCGCTAGAAGACGTCACTTTTTTGACGTCGGTTATTAAACCGAATCCAAAATTAAAAATAAGACGCGGTTTGGCGTCGGTTTAGTAGTCAGAATTCGATCAGTTTTTATCTCTAATACTTTTGAAGAAATTGTGGTGTCATTTGATCTTTGATCTCCAATATGCTATCTAGTCAATCATAATCCTTGTTCTGAAGATGAACTGGACTTTCAGATGGAATCTATTATCTATGCGAGATGGGAGTTAGAGAATGAGATGATAGATCATGCAGTCCTGACCTAAACACACTGTAAGTCTATTTGATGGGAAAGCTTTTCATCACACATTGGATGTTTTTCCTATACTACTTATGATCATTTCAGAGAAATGAAGGATCTTCATTCTTCCAAGCTTAAAATAGTCACTGCTATTGATATAAGATTAACACCGTCACTCATACAAATCAAACTGTGTGTATTCTTCTGTGATTTTGTTTTAAATGTTTTATCTGCAACTGTGTAAGGTGAAGCTTTGAGGATAAATGTATTTAACTATCGTGCTCTTGTAAGTGTTTGATTTTAATTTTGATACTTGCAATTCCTTGGCAATAGTGCATATATGCTGTATCTTTGACTTAGGGTATCTTGGTCCTTATTCAAATCTGATAACATTTTCGCTTGTTTCTTCGTTTCTGCAAAATTCCAGCTAACCAACCAGATGCAGGACACATTGATCTTTAAGAAAAAGGGAGATTCCGCAAATGCCATCGAATGCTTCTCTTAGGTTATATATTTTGTGCTGTTGTATGTTTTAGTTCATGATGTTAATCCAGAGCTTATTGCTGGTGGTTTTGGTAATTCATTGAGATGGCTCTGTTTATCCTGCTAATTTTTGTCTGTGAAATCATTCATTTCTTATGTTCTACGACCGTTTTCTGTGAAATTTCTGTAGGTTATGTGATACTTATGTTTAGTGATCATTTGTAGGATAAGTTGAAACAGGTAATGACTCAGAATATTCAATGTGAAGCAACAAGTGATGCATTTGAATAAGTGTTTAATCTTTAAGTCATTTGAATCATTTCCAAGTTAATAACTTCTTATTGATAACACAAATTATCTTTTATAGGTGACTGCAAAAGAAGAGAACACCTCAGAAAAAAGAGAAAATGTGAAGGTTAGTATTCAAATTTTTGTTAAGAATTTCAGGTTGATTAGGAGAAATCAGTGTTAGGATTCAGGCGTGTGAAGGTGTGTGTTGTTGTTGTAATTAAGAGCATACGTACTAATTTGCTTGGCTAGCTAAGTTATAGAGAAACATAGATTCTGTTTGAATAGGTTATAGAGAAGAAACAGAGGTTCTGTTTTCGTTGAAATGTATTAGAGATCTTGCTTTCATTTTACTTTTGGTTACTGAAATGTATTAGAGATCTTGATTACTGATCACACTTTTGTTTTTGCAGGTGAAATATGCTTCTAGGAATCGGTCAGAAGAGTTGGAAGTGGGAACAAATTTTTACTTATTTTTATACGTAGAACAAACCATTGTATTTTCTAATTGATATTCTAGTCATCAAACAATGTATTATAGTGTTGTTTCTATATAAGATTTTATTTTACTATGAGTACAATGTCATCAAACTAAAACTTGTACAAAAAGAAAACTCCTTTTAAATGAGAAAAACAAACGATTAGGTAATTCTTCAATTTTGAAGTGGGATCTAGCTTGCTTAAATCCTCTGGCTCTTGTTATACGAATAATTTGGATTTATGTGGTAAAGAACATACAAAGCTTTACTGAGAATGTTTTTTTAAAAAAACTTTATAGAGAAAAACGTACTCAGGCCGGTGATGGAAAGATGAGCAAGATGATCGATGAGGCTCAAATTGAATCGACGTGCACTCAGGCCGGTGATGAGAAAAGCTTAGACTTCTTTGGAACTGATGAGGAACCTCCGGGGTTGGGGATGGGGTTGAGTTTGGGAACTCATCAATCTCACCCGCCTTTTTTTTTTTAGTTTGACGAGTTATTCCAAAGGCCTTTTTGATCTTAGCTCAGGATTTTTTCATCATTTTTTGTGATGAGATCAAATGTGAAGTCAAAACTCTTGCTTTATAGAAATTATATAAAGTTGTAACTAAATATTTTCAAAATGTCCTTAGAGTGGAACTGCTAATCAGTGCCACCGCATGGGCTTGAAAGTCATGGTTTTAAATTTTGACATCATATAGTTTTGGAAAGAGAATCTTAAGTTAACCCCAACCTCCGGGGTTGGGGTTGGGGTTGGGGTTGGGGTTGAGTTTGAGTTCTGACCCGCCATTTGTGCTAAAACTGTACACTTCAGAATATTGCATTTGAATTTAAGCAACCTAAAGAATCATGTATATTGAAGAAAACACAATTCCTTTTTCTCATTGGATCTCAATGAACTATTTATCTTTTTTTCTATGTATATTCTTTTATCGAAATCAACTTCTCTAATCTCTCGTTATGTCTTCATTAAAATGATCTTGAGAGATTAACCAAGAAATAAATTCTTAAGTTTTTTTTTCTTGGTGGAGAGTTAAGGTTTTGATATTTTGTTGTTAAACTTTAGATCTACAATGTATTAGATAGATACATATGTTATCTCGAATAAAAGTATAACTGTATAAGTAGTTTGGGCATAAGGGGAATGATTCGTACAAAAACCTTGTGTAGACGTCATGTTCGTTATAGTCAATTATGTGTTGTTTTGTTTTTCTAACTCTTAATATGAAACTTTGAGCTATTTTTACTTTCCAAATTCAAATCAAATTCAAAAATCTTGATAATTTTTATAACACTTAACTCATTGTGCATATTAGAAGTGAATTTTAAAAGACGAAAAGTTGTGTCTTGACTCGCACGCAAACACTCTGTTTCTTCCAATGATTAATCAGCAACCTCTTGACTCCATTTCTTGTTTATTCTGAGGCGGAATATAGAAAGGGGCACGATTTGTACCACCGAAAGTATCGATGAGCATGCTACCCAGATCGACAAACCCGACTTCATCAAAATCCAGTGTGTAAACGTGGTTAGGAAGCAAACCGGGAAAGGAAGCAGCAGGGACACAGAAAGGTTCAGATTTGGAGAGTAAAATGACAAGATCTCCTACGTCTTGAGTGTAGACAGCGTTACCTTGTTCGTCTATCTTGAAAACCATTACATACTCTGTTTTCATGTGGGTAACACCGTCCTTGACCTCGGTGGTCTTCTTGTACCACTTGACCAAGAAAGTCTCACCGGTGGTTCTTGACTCCACCAGGTGTTCGCTCTTGGAGCACGGATCCAGACGCTCGCGTATGTCCGTCTTCGTCCTCAGCTCCGGAGGAAAGTTTTCAAACCGTAGCATCTGCAGCTTTGGTTTGTCGCTGGGTTTGCGTGGATCCCATGACCCGATCAGGTGTCCTCCACACCCGGGGATGCGAAAGGTCTCGTCCTTCTTGGAAAACATGACAGGGGAGGAGAAGAAGCATGGGTTTTCGATTCTGATGTTGGTCCACTCCGGTTTACTCTGAGCCGGTCTGCAAAAGCTCAGCTGTGGACCCAAGAACTTGACAGCCACAACACAGTCTTGATCCTCTGGAGAAGACGAGGAGAGTGACACGTTGGTGATGACATTGGTTTGGCAATGAGGCAGAGTCACAAGAGGAGGCAGCGAGATGCGTTTCGGGTCAATGTCCGATGCAGCTGGGTTTAGGTCGTCTTGGAGACACAGAATCCCCTCCTCGTCGGCGTTCAGAGTAGCTACCCACCCATGAGATGCCCCAATCGTTACCACATTCCGTTTACTGAGGAAATTATACACCAAATACATAGGCGCCCTCTTGTCGATGTCACTGGCCATCCACCGGTCGGTAGCACTGCAAATGGCGAGTGTTCCAAGATTGAATCCACAAGATACAGCGCCATAGATGTAACAAGGAGGGGTTTGGTTTTGCTTCAAGGAATTGGATGAGAAGTCGTTGGAGGGCAGAAGAAGAAGAGAGGATCGTCTCACCACCAATCGAGGTTTCAAAAGGCCGAGCCTCGAGAGGCGGCTGAGAATCAGAGACATGAGTATCCTAAGTGAAAAGCCGAGAGATTTGAGAGAGAAAGAGAGAGGGATGAAAGAAAATCTAGTTGAATAATATTTGGAAACTCATCTTCACCTAAAAAACCCTCCTTCGTTAATACACCGGAGTACCCTTGGCCCCCAAGTTATTTTTGCTCTCACACAATCTTTTTAGATATTTCAAGAGTGTCTGTAAACAGAAATCTCCATTAACATCTATCTCCAATCTCACACAAGAACGTCTACTAGCTGTTGTAAAATATCTGAAAAGATTGTGTGAGAGCAAAAAGAACTTGGTGGCCAAGGCTATTTTGTGCATTAATGGAGGGGGGGGGGGGGGGGGGTTTAAGGTGAAGGTGAGTTTCCAAGGAGACCAAAAATTATTCAACTAGAGATTTTCGCTTAAGATCACTCATGTCTCTGATTCTCAGCCGGCTCTCGAGGCTCCGCCTTTTGAAACCTTGGTTGGTGGTGAGACGATCATCTCTTCTTCTTCTGCCCTCCAACGACTTCTCAACTTCCTTGATGCAAAACCAAACCCCTCCTTGTGAAATCATCGGCGCTCATTGGTGTGAAATGAAACACGGAAAGCATTTCGGAAAGCTCGTTGTTGCCTTTCTTAATGAAGGGAAGACCACTAGTTTGGATAAGAAGGTGTCTAGTGAGGTTGTGCATAATGAGTTTTTTCCTACAACGGTATTGATTGGGGCATCTCATGGGTGGGTAGCTACTCTGAACGACGACGAGGAGGGGATTCTGTGTCTCCAAGACGATCTAAAGCCAGTTGTATCCGACGGAGACCTGAAACGCATCTGGCTGCCTCCTCTTGTAACTTTGCCTCATTGCCAAACCCAAGTCGTCACAAACGTGGCCATGTCCACATCTTCTCCAGAGGATGAGGACTGTGTTGTGGCTGTCAAGTTCTTGGGTCCACAGCTGAGCTTTTGCAGACCAGCTCAGAGTAAACCGGAGTGGACCAACATCAGAGTCGAAAACCCATGCTTCTTCTCCTCCCCTGTCGTGTTTTCCAAGAAAGACGACATCTTTCGCATTACCGGATCTGGACGACACCTGATCGGGTCATGGGATCCATGCAAACCCAGCGACAAACCAAAGCTGCAGATGCTACGGTTTCTAAACCTTCCCAAGCTTCCGACCGCCATAAGCGAGGTAATGGATTCTTGCTCCACGACCGAACACTTGATGGAGTCAGAATCCACGGGTGAGACTTTCTTGGTTAAGTGGTACAAGAAGACGGTGAAGATCGACCAAGGGGTTGCCATAATGAAAACTAAATGTGCAATGGTGTTCAAGCTTGAGGAAGAAGGTAACGCTGTTTACACACAGGACATTGGAGATCTCTCCATTTTCCTCTCAAGGCATGAACCTTTCTGTGTTCCTGCTAGTTCTTTTCCCGGATTATCCCCTAACGCCGTTTACACCATGGATGTCGACGAAAGCGCATTAGTTAATCTGAGATCTTTCCCCTTCATCATTAGTACCATGCATGGAGTCTATAGGGTTCCTTACCTTATCCCACCTCAAAATATAGACTAGTTTAGCTTGGAATCGAGTCTGAGTCAAAAAAAGCTTTTGTATCTTCCACTGTTACCAGATGGTGTGACAGATTATATCTAAGGACCACATATATATTATATATTTGTTCTTAATTTTTTCAAGTTGCAATTAAGATAAAAGCGTATTCCATTTGAGATGATATTGCATTTGTTCCTTCACTTTTCAAATGAAATGGTATTGACTCTTTAAAAAGAGGTTTTTCGTACGAGATGATATCTTTCAAACAAAACTTAGATCGAGATTCTATTCAGTCGAGGAACCGTGGGAGGAAGTGGTCACTTATCATAGCATATGAGTACGGAATCACACTTTTTGATATAATAAGAGTACCAAAACCATCTAAAGTTATAGATGATTTGTTTGCGTGAGAGACAATGATAAACTATCACAAAGCAAGCCTTACAAATAAATGCGGACCAACATCTTCAAGTAAAGTGGAGCAAATTAAACATAAGGATTTGGTATGATTCACATGTGTATATGATATGACTGATAGTGATAAAATCACCTCTACCAATTAACGTCATGTAACACACACACACACACACAAAAGACAATTATAGAAACTAATGAAAACAGAGCAAAAATCTTTGATTTCATAAACAGAGCAAAAAGATTAAGCACCAAACTTCACCATAATATGCGTATTGAATCTCCAAGATTTCTAGCCATGTAAGAGAGCATATAAGCTTCCCATAGGCATGAAGTCATAGACAAGAACACTAGATTTTGGCTTCAAGCAATTGAAAACGCTTTGACTCGTAGTCGTAGGGATTAACCCAAAATATTATCATCAAACGTTTTTGCGACTCTTCTGTTTCGTGGAGAATCCTATTACGCATCTCAACACCCCAAACTCAGAACTAATATATGATAAGGTTGCAAAAACCACTCAAAATGCAGACTAGCTAAAAAACTATACAAAATCGATCCATGTATCTTGCAGATCAAGTCAATCGTTAGACCGTATAACTCGAGTTTTGCTTTATATCATAAAGCAAGCCTTATAAAGAAATGCAAATCTACACATCTTCAAGTAAACTAGAGCAAATTATACAAAAATAATTGGGATACTTTGAAAAATAACCTATTTATGCTTAAAATTTTGAAAAATACCCTAATTTTTTTTTCTGTTTTGTAAAATACACTTTTTAAATGTAAAAAGACTGTTCTGACTTAATTTAAATAAAAAATTAATAAATTACTACAGTTACAAATTAAAAACGAAATTCAATAAATAATAGAACTAATAAGGATTTTTTTCAGATAAATATAAATTTTAAAAATTTTAAAGTGGATAAATCTAGCCCTGGGCATTTCGGGACGGGAATCCCGTTCCCACCCTTACCCGTTTAAAATGGGAATTTGCAATTTCCCGTTTGGGAACATTTATTTTATTCAAACGAGTAAGGGAAGGGTAAGGGATTTCCCGATTTTCCCGTTTACAAAATAAAAAATTGAAAATTAGATATTTTTTCTTAAATATCCCAATTTTTCCCATATTTTCCCGAATTTTCCCGTAATTTCCCGTATTTTCCCATATTTCCCGTATTTTTCCCGTAATTTCCCATATTATCTTCAATTTTTCCATTTATTAAGACTTCGGGTATTGTTTTTTTATTCCCAAAATTCCCATTCCCTTCCCATTCCCGTGGTTTCCCGTCCCGTTATAATAAGGGAATGCTTCGGGAATCATATTTGGTTTCCCGAATTTCCCATTCCCGTCCCATACCCGTCAATTCCCGTCCCAAAACCCGAAATGCCCAGGGTTAGATAAATCTATATCCCATTTTTAATTTTTTCTTTAAGCAAATTTTAATATTTTTAGAACTTTATATAAATAATTTTAACCTCATCCCATTTCAACCAAATGAAACTTTATAAATTTAAACTTTACATGTATTTAGACTTAATAAACTAGTAAATTTTTAAAAGTAGATAAATCTATCTTTCATTTTTAATCTTTATCTTTAAACACATTTAAATATTTTTGAAACTTTATATAAATAATTTTAATCTCACCCTCATTTAAACTTTATTATATAAACAACCTTTATTTTTAATAAAATCTAAACAGATAATTAAGATTGTTTAGTATTTTAAAATGAAAAAAAATCATGATCAAATCGTTATATTTTATATTTCTTATTTAAATTTCGTTTTTATTAAATTAGTTGAAAACTTTAAATTATGATAATTAAGTTATTTTACATATAAAAAATATAAAAAATATGTATTTTTCAAAACTAAAAAAAATGAGGGTAGTTTTCAAATTAAAAAGTTATCAAAAATTGTATTTCCAAAATTTCTCAAAAGTATATATATATATATATATATATATATATATATCTTATAGAGGATTTGGGTGTGTATGATTTCACATGTCATGATATTGATATGACTGATAGTGAGAAAATCACCTCCACCAATTAACGTGTTACATGTCAGCAAAAGTGTTTCTGGTCAGACAAGTCCACGTCAATTTTGACTCAATAATTTAGCAAAATATGGTATGATATCACCCCACAAATAGAAATTGTTTGTCTTTGAGAAAGAAATGTTTTTTTGTATGTAGATTTTGGTTTTGGTTTTTTTTTTTTTTTTTTTCTTTTTTTAAAAGAAGCATATTTCTCGGAAAAGGGGGCATCTTTGATCTTTCTCGTCTTCTCTTTCTAAAGTTTTTAATTTTAAAAATTGAAAAAAAAAGACACACAATAAGCCCTAAATAAAATTTCCCCCTTTGAGCAGCTGCCTCCTCTTTTTGTCCGATTTCTCCTTCCGCCGAGTAAACGCCTCCACTGAATCATGAGGGGATTCAAACGCACCGCTGTTTCCGAATCGTTTCCGGAAGCCAATGAATCTTCGGTGAGTTTTCCGCGTTTCTTCTCTTGTGTGCGTTGTTCTTAGCCTTCACGGTATAGATTCCCGATTGAATCTCGTGAAGCATCCGGTATTGAGTGGATTCTCTGTTTCGTTTTAGAAGAGAACCAAAAAAATTGGCACTTTTGATATACATCTTGGTGGGTAATTGACGATTAGTGACTTTCTAGCTCGTTTTCTATAGCTTTTGGGGTGATGATGAATAAAGTTGGCGTTTTTATTGGTGGGCATTGAATTTGCTTTGATTTTCCAATTCTCAGCTTAAGGTTTCTGCCCCAATTTTGATATGGAATCGAATCTGTGGCCTCTTCTTATCTACTGGAGTTGCTTTTGTTTTGGCTATACATTGAACTGATTTTGAAATTGGAATTTTGCAGTTTAAGAATGCGAAATCAGTGGAAGGGACCTTATTTGGTATGCACAAGAGTCCGGTAACGTCGCCGGCGGCATCGTTGGATAAACAGAGAGCTGAGTTAGCTAGGAAGCATGTGAGAGCTCTTAATAACCAATTTGTAAGGTGAATACTTTGTTTTTTCTGCCAATAACTATATATATATATATATATATATGTGTACTTGTTTATGTACCTTTCATCAAGAAGTTGCTTATGGTTTCAAATGTGGAAACAGTTGGGTGCAACTACAGCTCAAGAATCATCCTGATGAACTTTGGGAAGATGGTATGAATGACTACATTAGCCATGCTTCTACCATTATGGTAAATCCTCCAAAAATTACCTTACTTTTTTTACTGGTTTCTCCTGAATTTAGAGGATGGTTTTGTCCATTGATGGACTCATCCTTAAGAGTTTCTTGCTTCTTTGGTGATAAACTTTCATGCTGATTCTTGTACAGGAAAAGTTTAAAGATGTGGTCAACTGGCTAAAAGAAAACAAAGGCAAAGGGGAGAATGTTGTATCTCCTGAGTCTCGTGTACCAGAGAAGAAACTAGTGGCCGAAGTCAAGAGTAGCGAAGTTAAAACAGTTTCGAGTAACTTCTTGTTTACTTCAAACAGTGAACAGCCTGGGCTCTTCACAAACAATCACCCTTCCACTATTGCCAGTAGCCAGTCTGGTTTGTTTTCAAGCCAAGCTGGAGTATTCTCCAGCAATCCATTCGGTTTAACATCCAATAGCCAAACCGGATCTTTCAGCACCGGCCAGTTTGGTTTGGCGAAAAGTAGCAGCCCACCTAGCTTGTTTTCCACCGGTCAAGCTGGAGGGATCTCTAATAGCCAACCTCTTTTATCGTTTTCTAACAATCCAAACCCTTTTTTATCTGGAGGTATCTATTCACTAGACTTGTTCATTTGATCAGCTTTGTATCTTTTGGACAAGAGTTTATCTCAGAGACCTAACCTCTCCTTTCCTTGTTTGCTGGTATTAGTAACTCCAGTGTCCATACCAGCAAAGCAGAACTCCGCAGAAGATGCAGACGGTGGTGAGTTGATTAGTACTCTGGTTTCTTCCTCTTTTGTTTTTTGTTTTCGTTCTTCTTCAAAAGGTTATGATTGCAAGTCTTGAGGCTAAACATTGGACTCTTTTGACTCTGCAGAAGATGAACAACCTCAACCGAGCAGTCCATCTGTGAAAAAGACTGAAGAGAAGGGTGTTACTGTGGTTCATGAAGTTAAATGCAAGCTTTATGTCAAGGTATTTGTTATCTGAAACTTTGATGTTATCTATCTTTCTACTGAATCCACAATATTCTTCCCCTTTTTCAGTATAATGTTGCAAAGTATTGTTCATACATTTAACTTTAACATAGCATCACGAATGAAACCATTAAGGTTGTTAAGAGATAGAAATGTTTGCTCCTAATCATTATGCATCCTCAAGGTCTCCTAGGTGTCACAATGCTTGTAAACTAGTTTCTTTTCTCTCTACTTTAAGTTGCCTTGATGCTATTTTCTTGCTGATGACTATAGTAAGTTGTTGTAACCTGTGTATGCAGTCAAATGACCCAACTGATAAGGGTTCATGGAAAGACAAAGGAACTGGGAACCTCTCAATAAAATGCATAGAAGGAGTCGACAAGGGAACTAAAGAATCGAAACCCACAATTCTTGTCCGAAACGATGTATGTCTCAGTACACACACAGACACTTCGCATTCAATTTATTCTACAGATTCTCAACATTTATAAGAAACCTTTTTTTCTTCCCAGGTCGGAAAACTGCTTCTGAATGCTCTACTGTACGCTGGAATCAAGACGAGCGCACAGAAGAACGCACTTGTTGCAATATTCCACTCCTCGGTAAACTAAACACACCACTGAATCTTTTTTTTCTTCAGTGTTTTCACGGTGGTTTGTAGTTTCTCTGATTTTGTCTAACCTGGAACAGGATGATTCCAACGACGAGAATGTAACAGCGAGAACCTTTCTGATAAGGACAAAGACAGCAGAAGCTAGGGATAATTTAGCAGCGGCGATCCAAGAATACGCACCTTCTTCTTAAAAAATGACCAAAACCAGGTTGAGATTGATTCTTCACTGTATCTCTTAAAGCTTGAGTTTACCGAGTCATCCTCTCTTTATAATTTTGTTTCCTTGATTTGTAATATTAGGAAGGCTCTTAAAGATTAACATAAGTCTTGATTTAAGAGCTTCAAATTGTTGTATGATTGAGAGAGGAAGAGAGAGAGAGAGGCAAGGGTTAAAGGTACTTGGTAGCATATTAGAGAAATGTTGTGCCTCATCTACTTTGTAACTTATAAAAACCCAAAAACAATAAAAACCATTTTTCCCCAATAACTCTGATTCATATGCAGAGTTTCGAGATTAAGGAGCATGTATTTGTTTTATGGTGATTACTCATTTTAACGATGTTAGAGGATAAACTAACATCAATACTAACAACTTCAGAGAAAAGTAAAATGCATTTTTGGCATATGCACCACTTGTCTGATTATGATTATATAGAGAAGACAAGAAACAGTGAGTTAATACAAATTAATGCCAAAACCCTTTGCATATAAATATACCGATGATTCTGTATGTTCAGATTCTCGATGATCACCTGTAGGCTGTAACAGGTGCCTTCTTCATCAAAGTTTTCTCCACATCGTCACTGAGATGTCAAGATGAATATGCTTGGATCAATAGTCTCGTATTTGGCTCCTATCAATGCATTATCGAGTTGTTCACAGCTTGAAAGTTGCTATGGAGCCAGGACTTTAATTGTGGCTCCTTGGTAGTAAGTGAAAGGAAGCGTTGAGAAATTTGGAGGAATGTAGAAAATTGAAATTAACAAAGTAAGTAGAACATAACAACAGTCGCTTTGGCCGAGTGGTTAAGGCGTGTGCCTGCTAAGTACATGGGGTCTCCCCGCGAGAGTTCGAATCTCTCAGGCGACGATTTCTTTTAGCATTTTTACACACAAAAAAAGGCAATAAATTAGACCAGACATGAAGCCAGATTCATGTCAAAATGTTAACTTCATACACCAGTGACCAGACATATCAAGGGATTACGTAACTCTGTTTTCAACGTAATTAGAAAAGGGCTTTGACCAAAAGCTTGTGTTTATTATTAGTAGATCACCTTTTTTTTTAGTAGATCAATTTTTTCCATTTTTTTGTTGTAGTTTTTTTTTTATAAGGGTGTACGTTATCCTTAAATGAATGCTCAATTTGACATGTGTGCTTCTCTAACTAATTTGACATGTGATAATATAATGAGGCAATGAGATGGATATACAGAAACCAAGAAGCAAAATAAAAGAAACCTAATAATGTCATTCAAGCTAGTAAAACCGAAGCCAAACCAACCACAATAACCTTTTGTCATGAACTGCTTACGCAGATTTCACATTGTCTTTCCACACATAAACCATTCGTAACATAATATCAAATAAAAAACCTCAAAAAGGTTACCTCTACCCTTTACCATTCAGATGACAACTTCACATTCGGTAGAGCCTCTTGGGATTTCTCAGAGTCGCTTCAATAAATCATCTTTTGTTGAATGAGAATCCAAACGTAGGATGAGTTTCTTGAGGATTGCTGAATTCTTTAACAAATTCTTTACTAGCTTCATTTCTGCACCAAATACTTATTACGGGTTTGGGCTGTAAGCCTGTAATCAGTCTTTATTATGTATTTGCAACAGAAATAGTACCAGAAGAAGTGAAAGAGAAGCAATGTGAATTATACATCTCTAAATGGAAGACAAGTAAGTTCTTCTTCAAAGCACTTAACTACTCTTTACAGATGAACCCTAATTAATAAAGGCTTTGATGTTATATACACGTAAGTTCTTCTTGAACTTTCCTCATAAAATTTATCTGTAGTTTGCACTATTACATACAAAGATCATCAATCTATTTCACCTTTATTGGTATTTCAAAACTTGGTAAGGGACATAAAACTTAAGAGGTTTAGGTTTTATGGTCTGACTGTCATGGCTCAAACGTCTAACATATTTTTAGTCTGACTTTTGGTTTCTGATTTTATCATTTTACTCTGTACACTGACTGAGTTTAACATTAGATTCTCACTAAGTAGAAAACAACCCTAGTTTTGATTGTATTGAGAAATTTAGAGGAATGTACAAAAATGCTCACACACACTTCAAATGCAGTAACTAAAATTAGGAATAACAACTGTCGCTTTGGCCGAGTGGTTAAGGCGTGTGCCTGCTAAGTACATGGGGTCTCCCCGCGAGAGTTCGAATCTCGCAGGCGACGATTTGTTTTTAGCATCATTCTTACACACAGAAAGGCACTAAATTGGACAAGACATGTTAACTTGGTTATATGAAATTATTATTAATACGTACAAGTACGTATACAGAAAACTTGAATTTGGAACCCATTAAAAGGCATATATTTCCATCAATCATCATCATTCATCTCAAACAAGAAACAGACAAGAGGCTACATTACATTCTAATTTTATACAAACGAGAGAGAGAAAAACAATAAAGGATCAGTGAAGAACTGATCCGTACATTCTAATTCTAAGATTCTCCGTTTTGTTTCTGTGATCTATGAATAACGAAATGATCCACTAGTTTAACTGTTTTCACAGGGTCTTGTTGCATTGTTGTTGCACACCATTTACTCGGAAACTCTCTCTGATGGCTCATCATCCCACTCTGTTTCGGCTCTGAGTCCCAATCTTTGTCCAGCTTCCAATCTTTTGGCACCTAAACTCATTTCATACAACACACACCTTTGGTTAAACAACGCGTTTAAGACAGATTGGTTCATGATAATCATCTGTAGCAACCATCGTAAGTAGAGTTTTTGCTTTACCTTATCAACTGCAAGAGTGAATACTTCGATGTCTCTATTCTCTTTGATGCTGAAACGTGTGAAAGATTTGTAATTGGCAATGCGTAGGGAAGAGAAAGCTTCATCAAAGTGAATGTGTAGCCAGTTGATGCAGATATACAAGTAGCTTCCAAACACCAAAGACACCACAGGGGTTGAGAAGACCCAGAAATAAAGGAAGACAGAAGCATAATAAATAACAGCTCCGCTTCGGGACAGCGATTCCATTCCGTCTTTACAAATGTTGGTCCGGGTAACCGCCATCACCTGATGTTTAAACCACTCCAGGTCGGTTTTCCAAATCGGTTTATCGAAATGGACACAAAAACACAGAACGTTACTTACCTCAGGAACATCAAATGCTGACATAAGATACTTGATGCACGCTGGATAAAAGCCAAACGTCCATTGTTCTATACGAGCTCGAAGGCCAGTAGGGTCCGGGAAATGCTCGCTCTCCACTGATTTGTACCACTGATACAATGTATGATACCCTGTGGGAGGTGTCAAGATTCACAGGAAAATTTCACTGAGTACAGTGTACAATTAAACGTTGCACTTTGTCATGAAACTCAAAAAAAAGGTATATATATATGGAATGGACACTGACCAGAATTTGCAAGGAGATTATGCTGAATACAGATTTCTATGCCCAGTTCCAGCAACAGCATGAGAATCAGAGCTGCCATCAGGTGAGCAGCAACATGAAGAACTCCTATCATCACCCTTTTCTTCCGAGATATTTTTGAGGGGACGAATACGATTGCAGAGATCAGCAAGACCAGGACACCCGTAAAAGACACATAAGATTGTTCCATCACATACACAAACGCGCTCCAGACTGTGCCTAAGAAACTCTCCAGGTGACCAGAAAACGAATCACCTCGTAAGATGTGGGATAGCTTACACTGAAACCAATGAGGAAGAGGGGATTAAGAAGGAATGAGATGGAAATTCTCTAGTTAGTAGTGAGCCTATATAGATCAGCTTAGTTGTGCACTGTTTAAAACGCACCTGAGGGAACAATGAAAAGACCAAGATAAAGTAAATAATGCCACCAATGAAATCAAATTGCCAGTTCTTTTTCCGGAACTTCAAAATATTTCCCAGAGCAATCTGCAAACAACAGAAAACACCATATAACATTGGAATGCAAAAAGAGGAACACAAGTTAGTGATAAGAGACTGGAGAAAGACGAGCTTACCTTGCTTGAATCATCAAAAGAAGGGTAAGCAGCCTTGCTTCCATAGGATGCTCCATAGAACTTTGAAAATTTGCTGAACACATGGGTGGGATGCAGAAAAGCTCCTCCACAGCCATTAACAAGAAGATGTTGGACATGGGCAGGCCCATCTGACTGAGAACATGAATGTCGCATATAATGATGCAAATCCCCCGCCATTCTAAGTTTACACCTGTATTTCAAAACGTCGCATATCAGATGCTTCACGTTCTTCCCTGTATCGCTGCTCCAGTACCAATCAAGAAGCCAACTTGGTTCATGAGTGATAACGATCACTGCATCATCCTCCTTAACCTAAATGAGAAAACATTTTCTTGTAGTTAAGCAACAAAATAAAAATTGATTAATATGAAAAGACAAAGCCACTAAAATATATGCCTAAACCACTTGTTAGGAGTACTTTAGAAACCAAAGACATCGCAGAATTATAACCAAGTGATATAGTATATGTTACGTTTCTAGCAAAATAATGGTAGAACTTTGAGTAAGTGACGAAAAATATTACATAACGTCAACAATTCTATACAGCGTAGGAAGGAAAATGATACAAACATTACCTTCTCCTTAACTAATTCAGAAAAGAATTTGAACTGGTCGACGTCAATATCACCATGAAGTGCAAGATCCAAACCAAACACCCACCAACCCTCAGGTAGCTGCAGGGCAAAATAGCTTTTCTTCTGGGGCATAAACCAGCCGCCTAACCAACTCTTATGGCATATATACCTCATGAAAGTATTGAGTCCATCGAACCAGTCTGCGAAATAACAAACAACAACTCTATTAGTCAGAGGAAATAGCAGAAAAAAAAACCAAAGTACGCATGCAGATACGCGAAACAAACTATTAACAAGATAATATGAAGCTGAGACCTGAAACTCACCATGGTTTCCAGGGATGAGAAAACATTGAGGACCATCATAATCCTTCAGATCTGAC